TCTACTTTAAAGAGTCCTCTCCTGCTGATGTCCAGGTGTATATCAGTATGTAGTGTCTCTACTTTAAAGAGTCCTCTCCTGCTGATGTTCAGGTGTATATCAGTATGTAGTGCCTCTACTGGGACATACGCTAGCCAATAGGAGCGTAGGAGTTTTACATAGTGATGTCATCACATTCCAGAACTTGGGGATGTTAGCCTTTGCAGACCATTTACATGCACACAAACCTATAGAACACACTACAGGAAAGGGAAACCCTCCAAAAAGCAGAGCCTCTTTGAAAGCCCTTAATGTTCCCTGTTTCCTGACAGTGCTGGTCCTAAAGGAGACAACATCTACGAGTGGAGGTCCACCATCCTCGGCCCCCCCGGCTCCGCGTACGAGGGCGGGGTGTTCTTCCTCGACATCGCCTTCACACCAGACTACCCCTTCAAACCTCCCAAGGTGAGAGCAGAAGTATTGTTGGCTTGCAGCGAAGCATTTTGATAGATGTCTCTATTCCAGAGGCGTCACTTTCATACTTCCTATTCTCCACTAGAGGGCAGCAATGCACTTTGAAATGTAAGGCCAATCAGCAGTTTGTAATGGATCATCTTTATTCCCTGAGTTCCTCTGTTATATTATATAAATTGATTAATTTAAATGGATTTAGGCATACGATAAAGCATGTTCCTTTTTGTTTTATTCATGCTGTATGGATTTGTTTTTGTATGTTGTAAAAATCCCAAAACAAATTCTTCTTTTTGACACAACCAAACATCACAATTTGACTTTGACTTCCCATATGTCCAAACTTAAACACCTCATCAAATCTGACCTGAAAGCTTTTCTTAATCATCGGCCAATCTTCTTAAATTCAGTATATATTTAATTTATTTAATAACTACTTGTCTATAAGTGCATTTGTGTTGGATTAAAGTGAAGGACGTGTCAGAAATAAATTACATTTGAGCTTCATGGGTTTGATATACATTTCAATTTGACTGGAATGACAAAGTTTACAATGCAACTGTCATTAGAGTTTGAGTTTAGCTTAAGAGAGTGTGTTGTGTGTGTGTATATATATATATTTGTTGTGTGTGTGTGTGTGTGTGTAGGTGACTTTCCGCACCAGGATCTACCACTGCAACATCAACAGTCAGGGTGTGATCTGTCTGGACATCCTGAAGGACAACTGGAGTCCTGCTCTCACCATCTCCAAGGTGCTGCTGTCCATCTGCTCCCTGCTGACTGACTGCAACCCTGGTGAGACTCACACTCACACACACACACACACACACACACACACACACACACACACACACACACACACACACACACAGTGCTCATTGACTGCAACTCTGGTGAGACACACACACACACACACACACACACACACACACACACACACACACAGTGCTCATTGACTGCAACCCTGGTGAGACATACACACACACACACACTCTCCATTCTACTACATTTAAAGTAGCCACTCACTCACTCACACACATTGTTACTTCCTGTTTATAATTGTGAGGTGTTGTTTGTGTTCTCAGCCGACCCTCTGGTGGGAAGCATCGCCACACAGTTCACCACCAACAGAGTGGAGCACGACAGGATAGCCAAACAGTGGACCAAACGCTACGCCACATAATGAACCACAGCATGGGGAGAGGGGGGGGGGGGGATTTTTATCTCTGAAATGAAAATCTTAATCCTGACGTTTTTGTTGTTTATTGTATTTTTATTATAAGTTATCTCCGACCCAGTTATACCCAAACCTGGCAATAATGCGTTTTTAGTTTGTGCTTGAAGATGGATGCTAATGCTAATATGCTAACTGTGTCACAGCATGAATCCCAGTTCCAATTATATCAGTGTAACATATTCTCACGTGTTAAATTCTCCCTGTTTTTGGAAAAGGTGTTAAGATCTGAATGGATGTTGGTTGTGATTTGTGTTCTCTTCCGATGAATAGCTTGTTCTGTTTCTCTTCAGTATTAAACATTACCAACTGCCTTTGTTTCAATCAGGAGAGACTTGTTTTTTTTGAGTAAACACAAAACACAATATCAACACACACCACTGGGGGCCAAGCAAGGCATCCAAACGTGAGTAAAACAAATTGTATGGAAGGAAAACGCGCTAGAAATGTCTGTTTAAGGCGTCTAGGTGGCTTGGATAGAAAGCAAGCAAGGAAGGAAGGAAGCAAGCCGTGACATATGTAGAGGAGGAAAATGAGGAAGAACTCGTTCAATTTGAATCTGGTGTGTAAATAAATTACCACTGCATGTTATTTGTTAATTTTCTTTGTTATTGGGGTACATTTTTGATGAGTGGGTTATAGTGGTTACAATGGTATGGTACCATGACATCAAGTCAAATTCCTAGTATGTGCGAACCTACCTGGCAATAAACCTGATTCTGATTCTGATGGTGGGGACAGTGAAATAGAAAAAAATATTAATTGGAATTCTGAGGGGAAAGAAATCTATTTTGTTCTAAAAAAAAAAAACCCCCGATATTTCTGACTTTAACATCTGGGCCCAGTAGTTCAAAACTTTTAATCTCAATCAGATCCGATCAGATTTTGAAATCCCATTTTTTGTGATCCAGGATCAGACCACTTGGCCAGATTTTGTCCCAGTTTTTCAAAGCAGTTCAGGATCGGATCACTCTGATCCAGATCCAGACTTTTCAAGATTACTAGATCCTGAATATCAGTGCTTTAATCCTACCGATCGCCATCTGAAAAATAATACAAGGAAGACGAGACCACATTGCAGAGACTTCTATAGTCCGCAATTACTTTTGAAAGGTGAGGACAGATGATGGACTTTTTTTGGTTGAAGATATTTTTTCTTACATTTATGATTGACAATCTTTGTTGTGATACTTTTATGAGCATAAACATTTATGTCATCAACATTTGGTTGAAAACAAAATAGGCCACCACAAAGGTGACCAAAAAATGAAAAATAAAATTGATTTGCTATGAAGGCTAAAAATTGTGTATTATTTCAGTTAACAAACTTTGCCATCTTATTTATATTGAAACATATTTTTAAATAAATTGTACAGTACATTTTGCTCTGGTAATCCACTGGAAATCCACCCCTCTGGTGGGATCAAGATAATCCAGTTTTTCGGGATCAAACTGATCCTGTGTTGTCGGTTTGAACGACCTGTTTTGAAGATTTGATCCAGATTAAAGCTTGGATTTGATTTCCTGATCTGATCGGATATCAAAGTGATCCTAATCCTGTTTTTTTGTTTTGAACTACCCAAAATCCAAATCTGATCCCATCAGATAGGGATTACAAATGTTGAACTCCTGGGCCCAGGACATCAAATTATTATTTTCTTGAAATTCAGATTTTAATCTCAAAATTCAGAGAAAAATCATAATTTCGAGATCAAAGTCTAAATTGTGAGGCAAAAAGCAGAATTTTAAGAATAAAAAATGACCGACTGACTTAGTTTCATCATCTGTAGTTTGTAAAAACACACACACAGGGTTTAATACGAGGCTACATTTTATTCAGTGCATCTTATTAGAATAATGCACGACCTCTGTTCTACTAGCAGCACATTCATTATTACTTTAAGGAAACACAAAGAGAAACAGCGCAGATCATCCTTCACATTGATTCATCATTTTTTCAAAACAAGTCGAGGAATGTGGTTCATTAAAGTGACAAAAATAAATTAGTTTAAAAATAAATATTTTCTACTGTTAGACACGTTAGCCCTATTGGATTAAACAGGCTGGAAAACACAGGAGTGCAACTACATCACAAGTAAACGCAGCACCATGAGTATTATTGCTGCCAGGCCTTAATATATATACATATATATTCATATGAGATGGACTGGACGAATGCTGCATTCACATCACGTGGGAAATAACATCACAGATGAGTAATCTGTCTGAAAAAAAGACAGGTGGAGTGCAGCTTTTGTGAGGTTGGTGCCACAGATTTAAGGACATACTTCTGAAGTGCTTTTCTGAATACAACGAGATGATGCTCATGTTGAAAGAGTGACAGGTAGCTGTAATTATCTCTACTGGCTTTAAAGAGATTGCATACTTACGGAAGAGGATTAGGGCAACTTGTTTTCTCAGTGTTTGACGTAACTCTGAATTTTGTCAAATATGTTTTGACTTTTTATTCAGAATTTTTACTTTTTTCAAAATGTTTGGTGACCAACTTTTTAATGTTGTCCTTTTTTTTAAATCAGATTTTTGACTTTGCTCAGAATTTTGACATTTTTCTTAGAATTTTGACTTTTCTCAGAGTTTTGACTTATCTCTCTAAAAAAAGTGAGAAAAAAAGTTTCCGATAAAACATTTTTAAAGAATGACTTTTGGTCAGATCTTTAAAGAAAACCTGTGGGCCTAATCCTCCCCTGTACATACTAATGCAATCCAATGTAAGAAATAGGGCTAATTACACGCTGGATGAAATACATTAACCCTCCTATTGTCTTCGTTTCCTCCCCTTACTTTGGTGTTCGCGGTCAAATTTGACCGGTCCTGTTTTAACTGCTATTACATTAACACAAAAACCATTAATCATCACCAAATGTCTTTTAACACCCTTTCAAACTGTACATATTGTATCAGACTACTGGTATACATGAAAAACTGCAGTAAATATACAAAGAATAGACACTGAACATGTATTGCGTGTGCCAGGTGTGATCCATGTGGGGGGATGGGCACATAAGAGCGGGAAATGTGTCAAATTGTTCTGTGTGTGTGTGTGTTTGTGTTTGTGTGTGCCAGGTGTGATTCACATGGGGGGGATGGGCACATAAGGGGGGGGGGGACACATCTAGAGTATGTGTGTGTGTGTGTGTGTGTTATCTGATCCGGATGGTTACTAATTCCTTTTCTTTATGGCGGTCATTTGTGACCGGGAACACCATGGGTGTTTCAAAGTTGACTAAATCATCCAAAATTCAATGAAAGTGGTGATCAGCAATTATATGTTCAAATGTCTACTGTGAAGGATATCATAAAGCCTTAATGCAATCGAATGTAAAACAAAAAAGTTATGATTGATGAAAGTAGTAAATCGGTCAGATTTGACCCGAAGACAACAGGAGGGGTAAGCGGACAGTATTTTTGTTTTTGTTAATAGAGGATTTGAATCAGTCTTTTTGAGTCACATGTACAGCACACCGTTTAGTGTTAGGATAGGATATAAAGAGATTGCAGATGGTGCTAAAATACAATCACCAAATGTAATAAGAGGCTTAGTTATACTAATAAAGTGGAGTATCGATCTTTAGGAAATGGCACTAGTACAGGCGACCTTTGGGTTTCCAAATGCCTACAGACTGAGCTCCTAGATTGGGATCTCTTGGGATAAGTAAAGACAATTTCAGCAACCACTGACTCTTTAAAATATACGGGCATTGTCTCAAAGATAAAACTCAAAGAACAACTTAAACTATCATTCAACTTTGAATAGAGTGGACAAAACCTATATTATACAGTTCAGTTGAAATGGTAAGTAAACATAAGAGGTTATTATAAAAGGTAAATCCACAAGATCTGTGTTTGAGTTGCGTCAAATCTTTGGTACTAAAGTGCTAAAGATAGTTTTCCACCTTCAATGAAAAACACTGATGAAGCTACAGGTGACACTTCTGTCTGTTTGGTTTGCTGTAAACAAAGAAATACAACATGCATCCTCATGGGATTAGTAAACACACAGGAGAATACAGGATTCACTTTCTACCGTTGCTCAGATTGATTAGTCTATTTGTGTAAAATTACAGTTTCGTCAATGGCTTTGAAGAGAGGAGATATCGGCTACAGTTCCTCATCGAAAAGGGCCAACTGCCAGCAAAGTAAAGGGATGCTAATATTCTAAATACAGCGTAAACATAATGGTGTTTTTATGTGTCTAAAATATGTCCACAACAATACATAGCTTAGCTTCCTTCTGGTACTCCTGTCTGTTTCTACAAACTGCATCTAGTGGAGGTAATACACTGACTATGATAGCTTCTTATATCAATCATACAGACTTGGGTTCTCAGTAGGAAAGATGATTAGCATTCTTCTTCAAATGTTTTCCCCTACAATTATGTAGTATAGCTGACTTAATGTGTGTTATGCTGCTTATAGAGTGGTGTAGGGATGTCATATTATTTTTAGGTTGACCCTGAAGGCAGCATCTCCCTGAACCAATGGGATTTCTCCATGTGATCTTGGATTATTGCGGAAAATAATCTCTGTGGCAAACAAACTTTTATGATTCTTACACGTTTTGTTCGGCAGGATCAGGTCACCACCGCTAAGCTAAAGGTAGCTAATGTTGGGCTATAAAGGAACTACAGCAGGGTCACATGACTTCACGTCAACACCGCTAAGCTCAAGGAGGCTAGGAGTATTAACTGACTGATTTTATATAGTAGAATCAAAATATGTTCAGTTTGTGTTAACCACAGATCTTATTTCAGGCCAAAACACATTCAGAAAACCATTAAAAGAGAGGACAGGAAGTGGTAAGATGCTGACTCGTTCCAGGGTTTTTGGCTGTCAGATGTCGTTGGACGGCGTTCCTTTGCTCTTGCGCCCGGGCAGAGGGAAGGTGGATTTGCTCTGCGGCTGCGTGAGCCGGCTGGTGAGCTGCGTGAACGGTTCGATGAGGGAGTTTCGCTCGGTGACGCTCACCTCCCACAGCTTCACCTTCTCGCCTCGAGCCCACTGCTGCGCCGCCTCCGGCTCCACCTGGCGACGCTCCCGAAGGTCCGTCTTATTCCCGAGAACGATGACCGTCACCTGAGAACAAACACTATTCATTATTTTACAGATTTTAGATGATGCACTCTACAGTAGCAAGAGATATGACACAATAAAGCATTTCAGGATTTAAAGGTCCCCTATTATACTGTTTTTCATCAATATATTATAGGTCTCAGATATATACAAACATGTCTCTGAAGTGTTTGGCTCGAAACACCAAACAGATCATTGCAGCATCCCATAATCCCCTCTGTTTCAGCCCTGTTTCGAAAGTGCTGATTCTCTGTCAGTTACTTTAGATGAAAATAAGGAGCCACTCCCCACGCCCCTCTGAGAGATATTTGGTTAAAAAGAACTCAATGGTGCTCAAGGAGGAGATTCAGGTGATAAGGTGGGGGGGGGTTTACCTTGGTTGGTGATTGGCTAATGGTTACACAAGACAAAACATCGTTATGACATCATAAAGTGGCCAAAATCTGATCAGCTCATTTTCAGACAGGTTTTTATATAAATGGATCAGGACAAAAAGAGAGAGAATCTTTTTTCCTGAAACTTCCAGAGTCTCTTTCCACAGAGGGGACACATGTTGATGTAGAAGAGACATGAAGAAGTGGATTTTGCATAATAGGTGACCTTTAAGAATTCAAAGGCTTTATTGTCATATGTACAAAACCTACAGCTTAAGCTTTTGACAATACAAATATTATATCCAAGGCTAAATGCAGCAGAAGCCCCACCTCTTTCTTATCTCTGGACTTGTCTATCTCCTTCTTCAGGACGTCCACCTTCTTGAAGGACTCCACGCTGTCCACGCTGTAGACGAGCACGAACCCGTCCGCCACAGAGTAGTAGTGTTTGGGGAGATCCTGTCCGTCGTGCAGACCTTTGGTGTCGTAAAGCCTCAGCTGCTCCTTCACACCGCGGTCCGTCTCCACCGACGCCACGTACACATCCTCCTGCGTCTCACTGGACTCAGAGCCTGCAGGAAACACAACACACAGTCAGGAAGGAGAAAGGGATCCAGACAGATGCAGCACTGAGGAGGCTCGGACATCACACTCTGCATGTGTGTGTTCGTAAGCATGCAACAGGACGTCTGATTTGATGGTGTATCAGCAGGCACAGATGATGGTGTATTCCATTGGTTGTTGATTAACGGTATCTGTACAGTGAACACATGTGTGTTAGCATATGAGAAGGTTTCTCTTATAAACACTTTGGCAATTTACTTTTCATTTTGGTACAATTTATTTTCAATTTGGTAATGTTACCTGCTCCTCAAATAATTTCAAGTTCAAAAGTGTGTTTTCTTTTTATAACACACATTGCAAATTAAGTGTTTTATTGTATTGAAGAAAATATAGATCAATGTAAGCTTCTTCTTACGCAGCGTCCACACGGCGGCGTGCGTTGAAGCTTGCCGGTGGGCGTGTCTGAAACTCGACTAACAACCAATCACATGAATCTCCCGCCCCGGACACACAAGCACGCAATTTGATTGGCTAGAGCTTGTACTGGCATATGATTTGATTGGCTGACGCTTCCGTCGAAGCTCCAAAAGTTGAACATTGCTCAACTTTTGAAGCGAGCAACGCGAGCAAAGCCAAGCGACGGAACCACAATGCAGTTCGGCAAAGCGTGATGTCACCCCATTCAAAGTGAATGGGCAGAAGCGTTGAACGTACGCCGTGTGGACTTTCCTGTTTTATCATAATGATGGAGCAATTAGGATTTTGGTTTTAATTGTATACGTGGATAACCTTAAGACAATCAAGTCAGAGAGCAAACTAAAGTATTTAAAAGGCTTAATATCAAACTGGCAGGCATTGCAACAGGAGCTGTTAGGAGCTCTTTTTGGCAGAGTAACGATGGTTGGACAAGTTCTCTTAATGTTGAAGAAAAAGAGCCAGGACAAATGAAATCTTTAACCAACATTGCAGGAAAAGCAGTAGGAGCAGCAGGAGTAGGAGCAGTAGGAGTAGGAGCAGCAGGAGTAGGAGCAGCAGGAGTAGGAGCAGTAGGAGTAGGAGCAGCAGGAGTAGGAGCAGCAGGAGTAGGAGCAGCAGCAGCAGGAGTAGGAGCAGCAGGAGTAGCCGCAGAAGGGCTATCAGCAGGAGTAGCAGCAGTAGGAGCAGTATCAGTACGTGCTGCTGCGAGAGCAGGGTACAGATGTGTTGCCGAGTATCCAGACGCACAGAGAGCAATAGAGAAGGCCAGGGATCAAGCACTGTCTGAGTCTGAATGCGAGGCAGAGAGTGAGAACCAGCTTCGGATGTTTGTCACCCTGCTGACGGTGAAACTGATGCTCAAGTGCCACGCTCTGGAGAATCGCAGCACGGCGGACTGGACCGCCCACATAAAGAGGCTGGTGAACCAAACCATGGAGGGACTCGCCATCACTAAAGGCTTCTGCCCCAACGTCAGGAGCATGAAGAAAGTGTGCAAGGATGTGCTGAAAGGACTGCAGAAGACGTTTAGCGGCAAGACAAGTCTGGAGACTCTGATTTTACAACAGGATCCGGCTGTGGAGGCAGCGATCGTCCATTCTTTTCAGGCCCATATCAAACAGCTCTCTGCACAACTGGCAACCAAGGCTTCCTCCAGCTGGAAGAAAGAACTGCTCAAGGTCCTGTTCATTGCAGGGCTGCTTGCTATCTTCATCCCCCCTCTGCTCACCACCTACACTTCACACCTCTCCTCCACCACCCAGCCTGGCTTCTGCACCCCCCCTCTGCTCACATTGCCGCTGACCCCCCCCCCCCCTCTGCTCATCTTGCCTCAGACCCCCCCCCCTCTATCCCCCCTGCCATCAAGCCCCCCCCCCCCGCTTCACTGTGAGCACAGGACAGGTCCAGAGTCAGATGGAAAAACTCCACCAAGGCAAGGCTGCTGGCCCTGATGGTATCAGCCCCAGGGTCCTGAGGACCTGTGCACGCCAGCTGGCTCCTGTTCTCCAGTATATATTCAACCTGAGCCTGCACTTGGAGACCATCCCGGTGCTGTGGAAGACATCATGCGTTGTTCCGGTCCCTAAAAAGACAACTCCTTCTGGGCTCAATGACTATCGCCCTGTAGCACTCACATCTCATGTGATGAAGGTGCTTGAGAGACTGGTCTTGGCCCATCTCAGACCGCAGGTGAGATCATTCCTTGACCCTCTGCAATTTGCCTACCAGCCTCACCTGGGGGTGGACGATGCCATTATTTACCTGCTGCAGCGTGCTCACTCATACCTGAATGGATCGGGTTGCACTGTGAGAATCACCTTTTTTGATTTCTCCAGTGCATTCAACACGATCCAGCCTCGGCTACTGAGTGACAAGCTGCAGGCTATGAGGGTAAACTCGTCCACCATCTCCTGGATTACCAACTACCTCACGGACAGACCACAGTACGTCCGGCTGGGCAGTGTGCTGTCTGATGTGGTGGTTGGTAGTATTGGAGCCCCACAGGGGACTGTGCTGTCTCCTTTCCTGTTCACCTTATACACCTCTGACTTTCTATACAACTCAGAGTCATGCCACCTGCAGAAGTTTTCGGATGACTCTGCAGTGGTAGGGTGTATAAGGGATGGACGGGAGGAGGAGTACAGAGCGCTGGTGGGTGATTTTGTTGAGTGGACTGGAAGAAACCATCTGCTTTTGAATGTGGCCAAGACCAGAGAGATGGTCATTGATTTCAGGAGGAAGAGGACATCTCCTCCTCTGCCCCTGTGCATTCTGGGAGAGGATGTGGCAGTTGTGGAGGTCTACAAGTACCTGGGAGTGCACTTAGACAATGGGCTGAACTGGAGGATCAACACTGACGCTGTGTACAAGAAGGGGATGAGCAGACTCTATTTTCTGAGGAAGCTGAGATCCTTCAACGTATGCAGTAAGATGCTGGAGATCTTCTATCAGTCTGTTGTGGCTAGTGCACTCTTCTTTGCTGCGGTCTGCTGGGGGGGCAGCATCAGAGCCGGTGACACCTGCAGGATCAATAAACTGATCAGGAAAGCTGGGTCAGTCATCGGCATCAAGCTGGAACCCTTTGAAGCTGTGGTGGAGAGGAGGACACTGAACAGGCTGTTGTCCATCATGGATAACCCCACCCATCCTCTCCACCTGCAGCTGGACAGTCAACGGAGCTCCTTCTCCAACAGACTGCTGCAGCTCCCCTGTCACAAGGACAGATACTGGAAAACATTCCTGCCCACTGCAATAACACTGTACAACAAATCACCTCTGGCTGGAAGAGAACTCTCTGCTCCATAGTTTCTCTAGAAATAAAACCACCTTGTACTTTTTACTCACACATAATCTGTTTCATATTTAATACTCCATAATTCCATATATTTTGAATATATATATATTTGTATATATATATAATATCTGTATGTATATTTTCTATTTTGTATTTTGACATGTATATTTTATATTTTATTTTATTTTATTTCTATTCTTGTATATTTTGTTTTATTGTAAAATGCCTTTTATGCTGCTGTAACAAAAACAATTTCCCAATTTGGGATCAATAAAGTACGATCTATCTATCTATCTATCTATCTATCTATCTATCTATCTATCTATCTATCTTCATTGTGCTCGTAGTGGTGCAGTGAAGCAGCAGCTGCAGGTGGAGGAGGTGCTTAACATCTTCTCCATTTAGGGTTTACCCCGGGTACTCCGGTTCCCTCTCAAAAGATATTTTTTGAAGTCTCAGAAACTTCTTAAATGAGACTTATACTTTGTTTTCTATAGTTAATATATGTGTATCTTATTTTATCTTTTAATATGGTGTCCACATCTGCTATTTTAGTTTTTTTTTTACTTATTGTGTTATTAATAACGTGTGCATACTTTATCACGTTATCTGCTGTTGTAATTGTCACATGGCAATGTATTTGAATTGTTCATTATTGCATGGTTTTTTATTGTGTGCTTTATGATACGTTTGCTTTTTAAATGCTTTTACTTCCTGCTGCATGCTCCCTCTCCATACATTCTACCCCTCCCCCCTCCTCTACATAATCATGGGAATTTCCCCGTTGCGGGACAAATAAAGATTTCTGATTCAGATTCTGAACTGGTGTAATGCTTGACAACACTGCTGCTGGAACAAAATAATTGGGAAGAATAGAGTATCTATCTACAGCAGATCATGTTGATTACCTGACGTTGGAGCACACGTTATATAGAAATACATATACTGTAAGAGGACATTAATAAATACAGAAATAATATATGCGTTAGTGTTGTTTTCGTATTGTTGGTAGATCAAATACTCTTTTAACATGGACATGCCATGAGTATGGAATGGATGATACACTGGCATCCATTCAGAAGAGTTGTGAGGAAACTATGTCATGTGGTTATTTCCAAAATATTGCACACCCCCTGGCCAAATTAAAATCTAGATACAGGTTAAGAGTAGTTCAAGAGAGCAATTTGATTGTTACATTTGTATATACAGTCAAAATATATTGTTATTTATCATTTGACATGTCAGTCAGTGTAAAAGTGAAACTGACTCTTAATGTAAATGTAGAAAGAAAAGGAAGGAGAAAGGATCGACAATTGATGTGTTGATTTGAAATCTCTTAATGAAAAACACCTTGCTAACAAATGCTGAGATGTGTAAACTTTGCCTAAAAGGGATCTGCAAATATACAAATTAATTCTACAAGATTTAAAAAGAAATCTGGGAATAGATATTCAAATAAAGTAAATTAAAAATAATATGTAATTATCTCCCCAACATTTACCACTGTGGAACCAACATTTTTTAGTGTGGATTTACATTTACAACAGTTATAAGAAAAACTTCCAAATCAATGACCTGCATGTATAATGGTATGTTATTTTCTCATTATTAACGTTAAAGGTCCCCTATTATACTGTTTTTCATCAATATATTAGAGGTCTCAGATATATATATAAAACATGTCTCTGAAGCGTTTGGCTCCAAACACCAAACAGACCATTGCAGCATCCCATAATCCCCTCTGTTTCAGCCCTGTTTCAAAAGTGCTGATTCTCTTTCTGTTACTTTAGATGAAAATAAGGAGCCACTCCCCACGCCCCTCTTGAGAGATATTTGGTTAAGAAGAACACAATGGTGCTCTAGGAGGAGATTCAGGTGATACGTTGGGGGGGGGGGAGATTACCTTGGTTGGTGATTGGCTCGTTATGACATCATAAAGTGGCCAAAATCTGATCAGCTCATTTTCAGACAGGTTTTTATATAAATGGATCAGGACGAAAAGAGAGAGAATCTTTTTTCCTGAAACTTTCAGAATCTCTTCACACAGAGGGGACACATGTTGATGTAGAAACGACATGGACAAGTGGATTTTGCATAATAGGTCCCCTTTAAGGCTTTACTCACCTACAGAGTGGTTTCCGTACAGCAGCTGCTCCAGGATGGCAGTCTTTCCCACCGCTGCCTGTCCACACACCACCACTTTACAGCCTTTTCCCATGTCGAGCCTACCACACACACACACACACACACACACACACACACACACACACACACACACACACACACACACCACACACACACACACACACACACACACACACACACACACACACACACACACACACACACACACACACACACACACACACACACACACACACACACACACACACACACACACACACACACACACACACACACACACACACACACACCACACACACACACACCCACACACACATTAAATAAATGTAGTGGAGTATAAGTACAAAGTAGCTCTAGTAAAGTACAAGTACCTCTAGATTGTACTTAAGTACAGTACTTGAGTTAATCTACTTAGTAACTTTACACAACTGGTTATAACTTGGATTTGATCCTTAGCATTTGCTCGCTTTGACAGCTTTGTTGTTGTTTAACCTAGCTAACGTTAGCTAACAGGCAACACGGAACAACTCATTGTGCGCCATGTAAACACACTAATAACATTAATCATAATACATTAATGGTAACAATACACTCTTTGGTAGTTACTGGTACATTTGATTGAAGTTACTTACTTAAATCAGGAGGTTTACGAGCTGTCAATCGAGTCTTTAATGTCAGACACATCCGTTCTGCTCTGCTAGCATTTATAGTGTCACTGCGCATGCGCGAAGTAGCTTCTTCGTCTGTGTGTGTTTTTAGAGCCGGTGGCAACCAGGCGTCGCATTAGCGCCACTACTGGATACATCAAACTACTATTGATCCCAAATTGGGGAAATTCAGAATCAGAATACCTGTACTCGTCCTACAGAGGGGACATGAACAGTTGTTACAGCAAAGAGCCAAATATAGCTTAATATCACTCACTTCATAAGCATGAATAAGAAACAAATAAAAAAGATAAAAAACTAGAAATCAGACATCAGAAATATAGGTTCATGTTCCAGAGCAGAGACACAGTATATCAATTGCAGAAATACTCAAGTAAAGTCAAGGTACCTATGAGTGAATATGTGGGGTGGCCTGCTATCACACTGAAGTGAAATGAGTCTTTGATGTATTCTTATTTAAAAGTAGAGGGACGATAGATAGCTCATATATGAGATTTCAAAGACATTTTTTATTTTGTTTATTTATTTTTTCGAGGAGGAAGAAGCACTCAGACTTTGTACTTAAGAAAAGGTAAGAGAAGGGTCTCCATAACCATGAAGAAACAGCCACCTTCTTTTACAACATGCTACTTTAAACTAGACATTAATTCACAATAAGACACGAAACATAAATAATACATCCAATAAGAGCCAGGGGGGAAGATACGCATAAAGGCACAAAAACACTAATACATTATTATTAACGAAATCCAAATAAACCCCACATTTACCAAATGCAACATTGAAGTAATTGAAGGAAATCCATCACCGTCCACCTGGGGTCACTAGTGAGCGATGACGTACAAGTCCTGCGACACAATGCTGTGTGAGATTCCTGAGTCGCACGAAAACACTGCCGAGTGTGGCTGCCGACATTTGGGCGCTCAGAGAAAAGGGAGTGTGTGGAAATGACCGTGTGCAACTTCTTCCTCCAGGGACGGTGTCGATACGGGGACAAATGTTGGAATGAGCACCCGGGAGAAGGAGATGGAGGTGGAGGAGGAGGAGGTGGTGGAGGAGGAGGTGGAGGAGGAGGATACAACAACAACAACAACTACAACAACCGCTCTTCTGCTCAGCAACAGCCCAGAGGAGGAGGAGGAGGAGCAGGAGGAGGTAAACACAAGGAGAACATTTAAAGTTGTTTACATTTCCTGTAGCTGCTTCTTGTATTGAAAGCTATCCATTAGCTTGTAAGATACCGGCGAAGTTGACGTAACTACGTAGCAGGCAACATTTACTTTCGTTTCTCCATCACCAGCATCACCCTAGGGTTGTTTACTTTTATTTGTGTGCCTTTTGAGTAGGCTCAAGTACTCAGATCTTGTACTTGAGTAAAAGTAGAAGTACTCAGATCTTGTACTTGAGTAAAAGTAGAAGTACTCAGATATTGTACTTGAGTAAAAGTAGAAGTACTCAGATCTTGTACTTGAGTAAAAGTAGAAGTACTCAGATCTTGTACTTGAGTAAAAGCAGAAGTACTCAGATCTTGTACTTGAGTAAAAGTAGAAGTACTCAGATCTTGTACTTGAGTAAAAGTAGAAGTACTCAGATCTTGTACTTGAGTAAAAGTAGAAGTACCAGAGTGTAGGAATACTCTGTTACAGTAAAACTCCTGCATTCAAAATGTAACTTAAGTAAAAGTAGAAAAGTATTACCATAAAAATATACTTAAAGTACCAAAAGTAAGCAGTCTTTGTGCAGATTGGTCCATTTCAGAATAATATATATGATATGTTTTATAATGATTGATCATGAAAGTGTTCTCAAAGCTGGTAAAGTTGCAGCTAGTTTGAATGAGTTTGTATACTGCAGGGTAGCTTGTGAATTTACTCCAGGTGGAACTAAAGTCTGATTTAACACTTGATTATATTTCATCCACATCTGTAAAGTAACTAAAGGTATTCAATACATGTAGTGGAGTAAAAGTACACCAATTACCTCTGAATTGTGGTGGGGTAGAAGTTCAAAGTAGCAAAACATTGAAAAAGTACAAGCGTCTCAAAATTGTACTTGAGTAAAAGTACTTACACCACTGTTAATAAGATTACAAACTAATTAGGAATGCCAATCCTTATAGTGCAATTGAACAACGCTGCAAACAAACGCCTCGTCTGTCAAAATGTAAATAAAGTTTAACAATCAACGTCTCTGTGAAACCGTTTAAAATTAGTTATAGGTTGGGTATTCGACAGACAGTCAGCCTTCGATAAATTACCATTTGAATGACTCCAAACCAATGTGATTTTTGAAAAAAACCTCTGCCTGTGCTAACTTGCCCCTATTTGCAAACGTTATGCAAAAAATATATAGTAATGTGTGTTATCTGGCACACTTTCATTAGTTTTTTCAATAGATCAATGTCATGTGACCCAGTGACTCAAAATCCCTGCAGTCATACGTGCAGATTAGGCAGAAGTGGCCGTAGAATGATTCAACAACTGTGTGCATGTTGGTTTCAGGGTTTGGAAACAGAGTTTGGGTGAATCCTTCCCAGCAAAAAGCAGCCTACATCCAGCCGTCATCTTTCTCCTCTCATGGAACTGAGGAGTGGGGTCGAGGAGGAGCTGGAAGCGGAGGAGCTGACTGGGGAAAGGAAGCAGCAGCAGGAAGTGGAGGAGGAGGAGGTGGAGGAGGAAATGACTGGGGTAGAGGAGGTGGAGGAGGAGGAAATGACTGGGGCAAAGGAGGAGGTGGTGGAGGAAATGACTGGGGCAAAGGAGGAGGTGGTGGAGGAAATGACTGGGGCAAAGGAGGAGGAGGTGGTGGAGGAGGAGGAGGCAATGATTGGGGCCGAGGAGGAGGAGGAGGAGGAGGAGGTGGCGGGAGGAGTGATAACGTGAAGAGCTCTGAGTATAGCTTCTCTGCTCAAAACCGATTTTCAGCGCTTGATACTCCCAGCACCTTTGACAGGGGAGGAAGAGGAGGAGAAAAGCAGGTGCCAGCTGGAGAGGATGATGATGACAAAAAACTGTACGGGCCTTGTTTCTTTTTATTACGTTTTGCATGTGCAATGTTAAAATGTGAGCATCAGCAGGGTGTCCGCGGGGTCTTAAAAAGTATTAAAAGTTGCGAAAATGAAGGCTATTAAAAAGTATTAAATGGCATTTCCCAAGGTATTACATTCTGTAGCTTGTTTTCAATAAGTGTATAACTTGTCCAAAGAGGTTGTATTCTACAGTCTGCCTGAATGTAATCATTGCGTAGGTGTGTAGTGTGATTCTGTGTAGTTTATTTATGGCATCCCGTTGGATTTGACGTCATCTGAACAGGACATCGCACGCTCACTGCTTGATAGCGCGTGAAGGTCCGTTTACGCCGGTTGTTAAACAACATCGTTATGGGGAAATGCAAGTCTGCGTCCAAATGGTTGGAAGATAAGGAGGAAGGACAATCAATACTGTATATAGTAAATGTGAGGTAAAGTGTGTCGCCAATGTAACCGGTTAAAACTCCAAGTGGCGATGAGGTCTTAAAATATATGGAAAGGGTCTTAAAGGGTATTACATTTGACTTCAGGATTCCTGCATATACCCTGATCAGGAATGATTAACTTCATGTCTGTCTCACTGTCACTCAGGGAGATCGTCCAGTCGGACATGGATAGTTGGGAGAGTTCGGGCCAGTGGGGCTTCTCATGTTATTCCTACTCCAAGGCGCCTTTATCTGGTCAGTATAAATCCACATTTAATCACCAGTCCTTTTTTTTTGTAGACACTAGACCTGATAATGTTTGACATTTCTTGCCTACAGGTTTCACTGATCTTTCTCCAGAAGAGCTCCGACTGGAATATTACTCCACAAGAGAGTCTGGAGATCTTCAGGGATACGTAAGTGCTTTGTCTTATAGTCTTTCCTTATATTTGTCTTTAGGCTCTTAAGTATTCTTTGCAGTAAAGATAATGGGTGTTCTTTTAGTGTAAGTCAAGTGTTGTGTTTTTTTTGTTTTCAAAAAAATGTGTTTTCTGGGGTTTAGGTTAACGGTATCACTCAGTTGCTCAACCAGTGGAGAAGCAGAGTCCAGGAACTGAAGGTTATGAATCCAGCCACCCGCGCTGCTTTGGTGAGACACACACACACACACACACACACTCACACTCACACTCACACTCACACTCACACTCACACTCACCTAAATCCTGGATCATTATCTTGTATCCGTACCTGTTTTTGGCTCCCATCCATCAGTGTGGGATGGCTGTTGCACCAGTAATACACACACACACACACACACACACACACACACACACACACACACACACACACACACACACACACACACACACACACACACACACACACACACACACACTTGCTTTAACAATAAGTATTATATTCAATTTGTATGTATATGAAATACTTTTAAAAATAACTTCCATTCCTTGCAGCTTGCAGAGATAAATAACCCAGCACCTCAGGCATCTTCAGGTGGCTTTGGTTTAGCAACATTGACTGGATTTGGATCGTCTACATCCAGCGTGGAAACCAAAGGTTAGTTATAAGTATTGTTTTGTTGTATAGGCAGAGGGTAAGCAGTACTACAATATTTTTGGGAAATGTTGCATTCCTCTAAAGGATCAAAGGAAGCCAGCGCCAATAAATATCCTGGCAAATAACTCCTCAGAAAAACCAAATCCTGTATTTGAAAGGTTTTGTGTTCTCAATCACAATCATTTGTAATCAATGTAATTAATCCTGTGGCAATTTATTTCTCAGGAATAAAAAAATGCAGTGTCATTTTTTCCTCCAATGTCGTACAGACTTACTGTAGATTCAAGATTCAAGGCTTTTATCGTCATGTGTGCATAGCTACAGTGTAGTTATGTCGATGAAAATCTTAGGTCCCAGGCTCCTCCAAAAGGGCAACACAATAAAACTGTAGAATAGAATAGAAGTAGTGTAGAGTCATATCTACCTGACAGTGGTTCCCCTCATCTCGTGTGAAAGCAGAGTCCATTGCTTCTTTGTTCATTCTAAATCTTTCTGACCATGTAGGCTTCGGGGCTCCAGCAGCGGCCGACTCCTTCAGCTTTGCTGCTCCGAGTGGAGGGTTTGGATCTTCGGCTGCACCACCCTCCTCCACAGGGTTTGGCAGTGCCTTAGCAGCTCCTACACAACCCCCCTCTGGATTTGGAGCCACTTCTCCATCTACTTTCTCCTTTGCTGCTCCGACCACCGATAAGCCAGCAGCAACTTCAGGATTTGGCTCTGCCTCGGAGTTCACTTTCTCCTCGACATCAAACACTGGAGCAGGATTTGGGAGCGGTTTTGGCGCTGTAGCACCAGCGGCGGCGGAAAGCGGTAGTGTTTTTGGAGCGGCAAGTGGAGGGTTTGGGGCGACCGCTGCTCCCCCTGCAGCAGGAGCCGGGCCTGCGGGTGGAGCTTCAGACAGTCTGTTTTCACATGTGAGCATTATGACTGCAGAGGAACTGAATCAGTTTAAGGCTAAGAGGTTTACTCTCGGCCAGATTCCTTTAAAGCCTCCCGCTGCTGACATGCTGGTGGTGTGATGGAAGGGACTTTTGAAATAAAAAGATAATTTATAGGAACATAAGATTTTTGCTTCTAATTAAACCGAAGTCATATTAGTACTTTCTATGATATGTTAATGCGAAGCTTGATGTTCAGCTGTATAGTACACAGTACCTTTTTAGATGGCCTTTTGTCATATAAAGTGATGTTTGCAATTGATTGAATGTATTTTTTAAGGATTTTTCTGAACTGGTTTTCTAAGTTTGACCTTTTCCCATTTGGTGAAATACTGGCAGTGAACCATCAGTTGATGATTAAAGTTTCTAAAGGTTTGTTTGCATGACCATGTGATAACCTATATTACAACCAAAAACATTCCTTGAACCTATGTTGAGCACTTTTATCTGCACAACAATCCTAGAAAAAGGTATTTCACTGAATGATTGGTTATAGAATATCCTCAGATTGATATACTGCAATCTTTCATCATATACATAGAAGTTGTAATTACACAACTCAACCAGGAGAGGGTGACAGAATACAAGCTTTCAAATCCATTAGCCTTTCCCATCTTTAGTTAAGTATCAACAGACACTAGGCAAGTGTAAAGTCGCTGTTTACTTGGAGCCAACTTTAAGAGAAAAGGCAGGTTGTTGGCTTAGAAAAAACTTTGTTTAAGTTTTCATTGTAATGTTGTCCAAAAACAATCCATCAACACCAACTTACTTACATCCACTAAAAGAGGCAAGTGTGGTAGTGCACAGATGACAGTGAGTGAGTGAGCCATTCAATACGTATTCATTAGGTGCTGAACATCCGATGGGACCACAAGTAGAGGAATACAGTGACAAAGAGACAGCAATAAACTCTTCTGCTGCCATAAGGCCGTACGACTCTGCTGACTGCAGCATATTTTCCGCTGACAGGGAGTTTGTTATATTGGCGAGAGGTGAAGCTGAGCTGGAAGTGCCTACTGTGTGTGTGAAATCATCCTAAGTCAATATCTCATGGTTGGGTTCAAAGCATTTAGCATATAGGTACAGTATAGGCATTTTTTTCTCCCTGCCTCTCTTTCTGTTAGCAGTAACCTCCCAACCCCCCAGCCAGAAAGCAGATAATACATAAATAATTCAACAGATTAATGAACGATTAAAAAGGCACTGTTCAGTGAAACTTGTTTAAATTGCCATCCAATGACTCTTAAATACATCTAATGGAGAAATATGGGCATCTGTGATACTTGTTTCCCTGGCAGCAAAGATGTAATCAGTTACTGCTGCGCCATCACATTAGCATCCTGCCTGTGTTTATGTAATGTATGCATGAGCTGCACAGAGCGGATCAAAGCAACATTACGTACACACACATAATATGTTATCACCTTGGAGAACATTACGACCTGCATATGGTTATGATGTAACTTAAGAAATTATTAATTCTACTCATTTGACATTATGTGATTAATAGCAATGAATATAATCTATGAATGCAGTAATTCTTTTGCCTACTTCCCTCCTGGGGATTGTTCATTATTCCCAAGAGGAAGCCTGGATTTTGAGAGATGACATCTAAATTGGTATGAACACACACATATACACACCTGTCATGACCTGTACACACTGCCCTCCTTCTCCTCCTTTAATCCCCAACCTGCCCCACCCTCCTGTCAAATCATAGCTTACACAAACCCGGTCACATGACCACGGTTGTGTGCTGTAATTCAATTGACCGTGACCTGACTCCAGCTACAGGCATATAGTACACTGCATATGGTGCTCCAATATAGTTAACACAATTTTCCATTGGGGCAACAGGTTTGTTTGTCTTGTTAATTCCCTGTTTAAACCATACACTGCAGCCGTGTATGTATGTCGACACTATATGGATCAATCCTTTCAATTATTACTTCTGCCTGCAGCTATCAATATTTCTTCTCCTTTAGGTTTGCTAGATCTTTTATGACATGCAGCACCTAAATGCGGTGTTTATCAGCTTTATTACACAGCTATTGTTGTCACTATATCAGCTTATGAAAGCAACAGATGCTTCTACTGTACCACATTTTGAATCCACTCTCTTTACAGAATACCAATGAGCTGATTTGGATTCAGTGTTGGTTTTAATGTGTGATGGGGGCTGATTCCAGTCGACCCTCCTTACTGTTGCAGCAGAGAACATGAATTGATTGTGTTGTGTCACAGTGGTTCGCCTATGGGAAGCAGGGCATTGATCCAAGGCCTTTGATTTATGCTATTTAAGAGGCTTGCCGGCAAATACCTCACGTGCAAGGCTCCCTACCAAGGTTTCTGTGCTGCAGATTGTAATGGGTTTATATTATGATTAGGGCACCAAGTTCTTCTACACACTGTTAGTAATAACATACTGTAGTGAGTAAATACTGTCAGTGCAGAAGTATATTGAGACCAGAGTCACAATCAATTGAACTGTAGTGGCACTAAAAGGCTAAGCAAGAAAACTATGCTGCACTCCTTCGATGCGAGCTGCCAACTGCAAAATACTTCTATTACCACATTTTCACTTCTGCAGCGAGTTACAAATAGCACAACTGTCAACAACTATTAATCCTAACTGAATCCGTGAAATCGATGGTATCAGATTCTCAATCTCTCAAACAACTATGTAGTCCTTCAGGTATTGGATGAAAGAAAAAGCACATGTTAAATTAATTAGTAAACCTGAATATTTTTTGCAGGGGAAACTAGTTGTGAACACAAAATTGACAGGACAAGGAATTGTCATTCATTTGATGTCATGTTACTGGCAACATGCCAAATGTAAGTACAATGTTAAAGGTCCCATGTCATGGCCATTTCTACTGATCATAATTCCATTGTTGAGGTATACTAGAATAGATTTATATCCAAACTCACATTGGTTTCTCATACAGCATCTCTGTATAGTATGTGTATTCACTCTCTGTCCTAAACGGCTTGTTGGAGCTCCTTCCCCCCCTCCCTGTGAGCCCAGTGGCCGTCTGCGAGACAGCGAGACACAGCGAAACCCAGCCCGAAACCAGCCCGAGCACACACCCGCAGCCTGGCTGGGAGTTTGTGTGTGTGCTCACACACAGACTCAGCCTCGCCGCGTCCCGCCGTCTCAGGGAGGAGAAATCGGCGGAGCTGCAGCTGAGAAAAGTGTGTGTGAGGAAGTCCACGGATTGGTCCATTTGGACGAATGGATACATTTGGGTATGGGCACGTCACTGTACCCAGGAAGAAAACAATGAAAAAAGAGAAATCTCCAACGAGGCGTTCTGGGGCAGCATAGACAGGTATTTTCTGTGTTAGAGTTTTACTCGCTACAGGGTGTACTTTGAGGGTTTGTGACTTTGCAGACCGTTTACATGCAGAACAAGCTACATAACACACAAGGGGACGGGTAATAACCGGAAAAGCATGACATGGGACCTTTAACTCTATTTTAGCTATATGTTGCCAACTGTGTATCTGTCTGCTTTTTGGTGCACAGCAGGTGGAAAACAGCTTGAGCAATGACAGTGACCCGAAACAGTAATGTTGTGTATATTACAGCTGCATATTAAGTTAATTTAGCTTTACCTGTAATAAAGGTATACATTTTTTAACCCGTGGACATTGGCTGGTTAGCTGTATATCTCTGCTTTCAGTGTTTATGCTTAAGAGGTTAAACAAGCTAGCTCTCAGCTAACTAGCTTTAGCTTCACATTAAACAGTTAGCGAAAGTTAGCTGAACCAGCTAGCTCTGGGCAAAAGGCGAATAAAATATATTTCCTTAAAAGTCACAACGTCTTTTAAACAAAGTTTTGTCTTACACAGTGGTGGAAGAAGTATTCAGATGCTTTGGTAAAAGTACCAATACATCATTGTAAAAGTCCTTGCAAAAGCACAAAAGTATTATCAGCAAGATGTAGGCTACTTAAAGTATACAAAGTTAAAGTAATTATTTTGCCGAAAAATGATATTGATATAGGCTATGTTACATTTCTAGATAATATCGCTGATCAAGTAGCATTTTACTGAAACAAGGTTCTGAAAAAAAGTTAATGTTTTAGAGATGCATTTTGTTAAATGTAGCTTAAACTGTTAATTAAATGTAGTGGAGTAACATCATAATATTTCCCTTTTGAATATAGTGGAGTATAAAGTAGCATTACATGGAAATACAAGTAAAGTAAAGTACAAGCCCGTGAGTAAATGTAGTTACTTTCAACCTCTGCATATTTACAGTTAGATGTGTGTTTAACCAAGCTTCCACACATCATGATGATTAACCGTTTGGTGTGTTGCGTAACTACCTGCAGCTATGATTACGCAGGCATTCATTGCAATCCACCTGCTGGTTTTATCCATGTTACATGAACCCTCTTCTCTTTCTCTATACAGAAACAGGTTGTATTCACGTTTCCACAAGCCACACGTGGTCGCTGTTTGCCATTACCAAAGCCAATTTCCTCTCTCCTCCCTCCCTCTCCACAGCGTCTCTCACCGCGCCTTGGATACCGTGTGATCAGCATCAGCAGCACTGAAAGCGGAGGAACCGTTCAGCAAACAGCCGACCAGCACAGACAAAATACAACCCAAACGATGACCTTCCTACAGATACGACAAAAGCAAACAATTATTTGACAACTTCCGACCGCACACCTTGCCTTCGCCGCTCCTTGCTGTAAGCGGTAAGTGCTCTGATTCAGGTTTAATTGCAGTCATATCGCAGTGCTCTTTTGCACAGGGCAGTGAAAGCACCACTGGACTCTGAATATTGCAATTAATAGCAGATGGTCAGTGATAGGAGAAGCATGGCTCAAACTGGGTGCAGTCATGTGAATTTGTCTGTATTGTTAATACATATAGGCCTGTTGTAGAGGATTAGATGATAAGTGTCATTTGGGAAGTCTTGGTTTCCTTTTACACTCTCATTTTTTTAGCTTTAGAAGACTTTCAATGCACAGGTTGCAGTTTTCATGCATTTTTCCTACTCGTTTTAACTGTTTAAAGAGATTGATAAGGTCATTCAAGATTATATAGATAATGCAGATTAAGCCTATCAGTAAGGGATTTTATTCTGACCTAAATACTCAATTATTTTAATTTTACATTTTATAAGCAGGAAAGGCCTAAATATGTTTAGATATTTAAATATGCTCCACTGGGAATTTTAACAAAGTCACTCAAGGAAATTATTTGTCTGTTGATTCAGGTATATAGGGACAAAGTTCAGCGTGTCAGTGGGTGCTGGTGATCTGTATTATGGTTGTTTGGGATCAAAAGCATAAAGTCACCTACGCACCGCTCACTTTTTGGATGCGTGTGTGCATGTGAGCGAAGGTGATGGTAAAAGTAGGGGGAAGGGAGTGTGGGGCAAAAAACAAGCATATTTTACGAGAGTGGTACTTTGCCAGCTCTAGGGTCAGGCCAAGTGCATGCTGAGGTGTGAGATTATATCACAAACACAACAATGTCCAGATCTCAAGCTGTGCTCCCCATCTGTGGATGGAGGCAGAAACATGTGATGGGGCTCGAGATTCAAGTGTCTTTCTCTCAGAAAAACAGTCTGAAGCTGTAAAGTCACACTTTATTCATGCTTAACACTCTTCCACTATGTTTTAGTATTTTTCAGTAAGTGTAACAATAACAAGTTACGGTTTTTCGAAAAATGCAATTGCTGCTTTTTACATAAATAAATAACATTTGTAAAATAAGGCCAACTGACTTATTTATTTCTCAAAAACTGTACAGAAAATAACACTGCACCACTTCAAATATATGTTGTTTTTATTTATTTGTTAAAAAACCTTTGTGAAGCGATCCATAACCTAAAAAGATAAAAAGGTTGATTCCTATATGAAAACATTTTCCCCACCTGTTAGGCACAAAGTGAGAAGGATAAAGTGAGTACATGAAGTTGCACTGAAGAAGTGCGCCATCCTTGGCCCGTCTTGAGGAGAAAGAGAATAATTATCCATGTGCTTTCCTCTTGAAATCCTTGCTTAAGTCAAACTTGATCCTCTGAATGATCAATGGAGACAGTGAAAGCTGGAGAGAGACTCAACCTTGTTCTGTTGAAAACCATGTTTCTTTATCTCAATTTAAGAATTACTCTAACATTTGAAAACAGAGGCTATATTACACAGTCTGCACTCTTTACTAGTGAAAGAAATCCCATTTGACATATTTAAAAAGCGCCATCACACAGCTCACATGGCTCTTTGTGTCGCAGTTTAGTCCTTTTTTTAGATGGGTGTGGGGCTACCAAGCAGATATGAGATGTGCAGCTTACAAGTTCAAAGGACAGACAAAACCTTGTCCTTTTGAAATATTCACCAGGGTGAAATATATGTGTGTGTCTACAAGTATGTGTTTGAGTCAGATTGTACCAGATAAGCAAGCCACTCAAAGGGCCAGCCTGAACTATATCTCCTTCCATCAAAGAGTCTCTGCTCACATGCGTACACACACTTTTCACATTGATAGCTGGAAAGGGCAAAGGCGAGACCAGTGCTGCACCCACACACACTCACACACACTCACACCGCTCTGATCATACTTAAGATCTGTAGCTGGCAGCTGCTGGCCGTGCTCTTCTTTGAAATGATAATACAATGAAAACAACTAAGGTGAGGGGCTGACAGCCATATTAATAAGCAGGCTTTTGTGTGTGTGTGTGTGTGCGTGTGTGCGTGCGTGCGTGCGTGCGTCTAGGTGCATCTTTTTATATGTGCGTGTGTTGCTGTTGCGACCATATGTGGCTGTGTACACTTGTAGACAACCATCTGCAAAGCACAATTCCCTTCTGGACTGGTATGATGAAGGAGAGAAGCGGGGATTGTTAGAAAATGAATGCTTGGTTGGTATTCTTCTCTTTCTTCTTCTTTAGTTTTTTATGAGATGAATTGTGCCCACTCGGATTTAAACCGATGTTTTTAAAGTTTGTCTTTATAAATACAGTCTGGAGATTATCCACTTGAATTCCACTGTACAAATCACCAAGCTATTTCTGACTTTACAACAGCAGTCCTCAGAAAATCAATTCCCCTCAACACCTGATACGTGTTGCTCCTGCAGCAGAAAAGGTGACCTTCATCAGATGCGCCAGTTACTCTCTTGTTAACCAAAATCTTGTCTGATACAAAAGTCTGCTTTGCTTTCTCCTAAGATAAATTCTACAAAAATACAAATGATATGTTAATAATTACAAGAATCGTTACAATCTCTAAAGTAAATTTTCAATTTGTTTACGTTGTTTTTCTCAAAATAGACTTAAAGGTGGGGTAGGTAATTCACTTCAGAAACACTTTGTGTTATATTCCATTGAATGCTCTTAACATTCTGATAGCAATGAATATATTAAATGCTTTGAAAATAAATACATACAAATATTTCATCTGTGGAAGCCGTGGCGCTGTAAAAAGCATGACCAATTATTTTCACCGGCCCGGCTAAAATAACTGGATGGCCTACCTGCCTGTCAGCCTTCCATCTCGTGCACAAACTTATCTCGTGCCCTCATTGGTCATGTGCGCGTTCGTGTGTGTTGGAGGAGGGGCTCTGTAAGGAAGTCTGAAGGAAGGAGTAGATTTTCTTCGGCTGCGTACTTTCATATTCGAGCGCACTCAAGCTGGTTTCTCCATTCTTACCCACCCTACCTTTAACTTCAGTAAGAATTTAAAGTGAAGACTTACTGATGAACATTTGACTTACTAATTACTTTGAAATTGTTCATTTTTTAGCGGTATCTGCGTTGAAAATGTACAATATGGCTGCAACGATTTTTTTTTTTACTAATTATTTGCTTACTATTTTCTCAATGTATTGTTTGGTTTGGCCACGGACAGAAAACTGAAATATGTCCATCCAAGATCTCAAAGTGGAAAAGATATGGTGTCTATAAATGTATTTTTTGTCAGTAAAAAAGCGAAAGTTTACCAAGATTTGAAATGGAGAAAAACTGGAAATATATACACATTTGCATCATCAATTATCAAAATGGCGATTATTGTTCTGTCCATGAACTACGCGATTATACAACCAATCATTGCAGCTCTAATTTTACAATAAAGAATTGATTACACAGACTAGCTAATATGCTACTTTACCAAAAGACTACGTTTTACAGATCAACCGAACACTCAAACACGTAAGAAACCCCAAAAAACAGGTCATATATAAAAAGAAGATGGGAGAGATATGCATTAAAAGCCTATGATATCATTTTTAAAAACACAAGCGAGGGGAGAGATAAATGTACAGCTCTTATCTCGTCCTCCCTCAGGACCTAGACGTGCAGTAACGTGCCTCAGAGCGTTCTTTGGTTGACCCCTGCTTGGCTCCCAACAGGCTTGTTTTACCTCAGCACATGCTCTCTAAACCAGGACTTGGGGAGTGGAGTTAGATTATGTACATTTCCCGCTCCCGGTCGTCTACAAGCCTCCCAGGTGGGACGGAGAGATGGAGCAGGGTGGTTGAGGGGCAGTGAGAGAGATGTCACTGACCACATTAGTCACCAGAGAAAGCAGGCCATGAGTCAGGAAAGCTCCCAATCTCATCCATCACGCCCCTCTTAACCCACTTTCCTTCCAGTCCAGCCACTCTGGCTTTTTATTTTGCTATTTTCTGCTAGCTCTCCATCCCCCTTGCTGCTGACGGAGTAACTTTCCCCTTTGATGAAAAGGAGCAGAGGGCACAAAGAGAATGCTTCAGTGCCGGACTGGTGGCAGGAAGAGATGAGAGCCAGGAGAGATTAAAAGGCCACCTTTTGGAGTGCAGCAAGGGACACGGCTAGGATATGGACTTTTCTTTTACCCAAACAACTTTAAAAGAGATATATATATATATTAGAAAAATATATTTTGTTCTAAAACCACCAGACTAAGACTAAGGGACAGTTTCATCCCACAGGCCATAAGACTGTTGAACACCTGAACTTTTAAAATCTGTTTGCAACTCACATATATCATATATATCAATATTCCAATTACTGTATATATAGACTATTCTGCACAGTTTCTATCATATGCTGTTTCTATTATATTCAATTTTTATTTTATGTTTTATAATTATTGTGTTGCACTGTTGGAGGAGCCTGTGACCTAAGATTTTCATTGTCATAACTACACTGTAGCAATGCACAAATGACAATAAAAGCCTTGAAACTTGAAACTTTATCACCGTTCGGAGACAAAGATGAAATCGTTTTTCAAATTTTCACACAGATTCCCGACAGTGGTGTGTAGAGAGAAACACTGTGAGCCCCTGGAGGGTGATAAGTGATGATATGAGAGGTCGCACTTCTCTTAAAGGCTGCTGGCAAAAACATTGTATTGCTGGCTCAGCTTTGGAGGGATTAGTGTGGCGAGGCGAGGAGGTCCTGGGATGAGTGATTGAACTTTAAAATGATACTCCACAGTGTAGTGATTTATCGATGTGGCTGAGTGCCAAAAGATTTTGTGGTAGTTGTTGTTGTTGGCTTCCCAGATCTCTGAAGTTACTTAAGTGAGTGTAACAGCATTACATATTCAGTTTCTAAACACATGATTGTTTTAATTACCACACATGTGTTTATATTAGCATAATAGTTTGGAAACTGCACATGTCTAATGTTTTTGTATGCTAACAAAAGTGAGTTTTATGTATACATTAAACTACCTACTTTTTTTAATGAAAAAAATGTTGATCG